CCCCAAAACCCCAAAACCCCAAAACCCCAAATTCAGAAAAATAAATTGATTTCAATAATAATTGTTTTCACAATGGAGAAGACTGAAGGTAAGCCTGCTACTATACCAAAAACAACTCTTGACACTTCCCTGAGACTTTTAAATACATTCTCATTCTTTAGAAATCATTGAGAATACTAAGAAAGAGATAATAATTCGAGGAAAGAACATCATCTTAATAAAATGGAACACAAGTTTAGAGAAGTTCGAAAAGAATTTCGAAGATGACTTCTTAGATATCCAGTCTGATCCTATTAACTCAGTCTTGATCATTGTTAAATAAACTGGCTTATAAATAAGTAAGTTCTCAGGATTCTTAAGTATTGAAATATTTACACAAGTCCTAAAATTTGCTAAACCTCTGTATAGAATCCAAGCCTTCTGCGCAGAGAATTTTGAAAACGTTGTGATATTCCAAAACGAGATAAAATTCTGGATGGAAATCGGAAAGTCGACAAGAAACCCTCTCAATCGGGTGATTGTCTTCGATGATTGGACTAAGCCAGGGTAAGCTCATCATCCTTCAAAATCAATATAATATAGGTATTCCTTTGGATATTTCTCAAGGCTTGCAAAGAGGATACCAATGTTACTGTATGAGGTAAAAGAGCTGAAGGAAGTCAGAGATACAGATTTTAGAGATATTTCCTTTCTTAAGAGAGGGCTCGAGAGTACATCTAGTCTAACCCTCTAGATTTTCTGACAATAAAACTGTCACAGGTAGGAGGAGATTATGCTCAGTTAGAGGAATTTAATGACTTAAGAGGAGTCATTGGTTACTCTGAAGAGCTAGGAGAGATCATTTTGAGGGATCTTGGATATCAAGTTTATCACGATGACTCTCACGACTTCTTCCTTAAAAACCCAAAAAGAATACAAATGCTTATCGAAATCCTTGTAAAGCTGAAATCAAACTGGAATGGATTCAAAAAGAACCAGTCAGAGTTTTCAAAGTTAGTGAAGTCTCTAAAGAACATTTGTGAAGGTCATTTTAACAATGAGGCTAAGGTAGTCTATCTCAAAATAATTCTTTAGAAAGAAGAGCTTAAGGATGATATTCCCAATGTAGACCTGTTCAACACTCATCTGATCAAACAGCTTTTTGCCTCAGGAATTCTGTCTAATTGGCTGTTTTCAAAAGAAAGACAATTAGAAGATTACTCTATTACATCACTAGAGTCTTTGGTGTCAGGGTTCAGAGTTATCAAAGAAGGAACTGAGAAAGAATATATATCAGAGGTTGACAAACTTAATGGACAGATAAAAGAGGAATTGAATAAGGCTTATGGTAGTTACAATCAATAAAGAATCCATTTTATTCTTGCTAGATTCAACTTGATAAATATATTTTGGGGTTTTGGGGTTTTGGGGTTTTGGGGTTTTGGGGTTTTGGGG